TTTTTTTATGATGCTAAATTATTTTGTGGCGTACAAGGGAAAGATCAGCATGAGTTGGAAATATGACTTCCTAAATTACAGAACTTTGAGCCTTAAGAGAAATGACAAAGTTACAAATTTGAACTTAATAGAAATAGCTTATGATGATGACTAATATTTTTGAATAGTTACTATGTGCCATTGTACTGTACTATTTAATTCTCATTATAATATTTTTCCCACTTTGCAAATAAGAAAATTATGTTAATTAGATGATACGAGCTGTTACAGAGATAAACACTAACACTGAAATGCCTTACCTCAGTAGAAGTTTAATTCTTTGCTAACATAAAGTTAAAACCAGAAGTTCCTGATTAGCAGGTGGCTCTCCAACAAGCTGAATTATGACAACATACAACTAATAACTTAAGTTTTCTGAATATTCAGCTGAAAGGTAGGAAGCTTTCTAAGGATAAAAGTCTGGTAGTGCAAACTCATAATTACAGTATCTAGATAACAGAGAACTGTCATGCACAAATGAGTTTAGACCAATTTTGTACAGTTCTAGAGATGTGGAAGTTACAGGAAAACATTAGTTCAGTTTTAGAAAAGATTTTCTAACATTTACAGCTACCCATCTTTGTAATAGGTACTTCTAGGGCATATTCATTTTCAGGAAATAGTGAATATTCAATTCATAGATTTATGGGAGAGATCCCTGGTTTGGATAGATGGTTAAAGTAGGTGGCCCACATAATCTACCAATCTGTGATTTAGTGGTTCTGAACAAAAGGACCGATTTGGGTATGAAGTGTGTTGTTGTCTTTCTTCTTTCCACAACATATTCCCGATTTTGTCCAAAGATGAGTTTAACTGAAAAAAAAAATGAAGGATTGATTTTGAAATAAATGTTCCACATTCCAACTTTGGGTTCAAGAATTATTATAGAAATTAACAAAGTCCATTTTAAACATTATTACTTTAATAGGGAACAAACAGCTTTAGGCACAGTTTTTGACATTCTGTTTTCAATAAAAATTATATATTTCTGATTATAAAAATAACACATGCTCTAAAAATTTGAAAGATGCAGAAAAACAGAAATAACCTCTGTTAACTTTTTAGGTATATTAACAGCCTTTGCTCCCTGTGCATATATATACATACATAGATGATTTTCACAGAATTAATGTTGTTCTGTAAGTATAGATTTTTATACTCTGAAAACATTTCCATGCCATTTAATAATCTCCCAATATATAATCTTTTAATGGCTGTATACATGTGGAAATGCAATAATTTGCTTATTCCTATATATTGATCACTTACATTATTCCTATTTTTGCTGCTAAAAATTCACTTCAGTGATCATCTTTGTAGAAGCATTTTTGTATTTTGATTTTTCCCTAAAGTTAAATTCCTGGAACCAAAATTTAAGCAAAGGAGTTGACTCTTTTCTAGGGTCTTGATAAATATTGCTAAATTACAGAAATGTACCCATTATTTCAGTGTATCTTTTCATGGCATTTCTCTCAAACATTCAGTATTAATTTAATATTTGCCAATTTTATAGATAAAATATCTTCTTATCTTTATTATTTAATTTGACTGTTAGTGAGTTAGATCATGAATAGTTGCACTTACTTTTGATTGCATTAATTCTTTGTCCATTTTTCTAGTAGAAGTTGGTTGATATTTTATGAATATGTCTGTCAGGAAAGTTTTGTTTGAAACCTTTGCCCAGTGAAATTCCATCTTAATCAAAATAGGGTGTCCTACTAATTAGCCCAAATATTTATACAGTTCTGCTACTTATAAAATAATCTAGTTTGTGTTATGATTTTTGTTGCTGATTGAATGACACAAATTTGTGAAGCATCCCATATTTTCATGTCTCTGTGGCTCCCTTCCTCACCTTGTGTAGGACCTTGCTCAAATACCATCTTCTCAAAGAGACCCACTCTCATGATCCTACTTAACACTTGCAACTTCTCCCACCTGTGGCCTCCCACCACACCCTACACTCCAGTCTCCTTCCTCTGCTTCCTTTTCCATAGCACTTACCACTTTCTGATGGACTGATAATAGATTTTGTGATTGGCTATGTCTGTTTATTGTCTGTCTCTCCTTACTAAGTGTACTAAAATGTGAGCCTCACAAGGACAGGAATTGCTCACTGCACTGCTGTTTTGTCCAAAGCACCCAGAACAGCACCTGGCATATGGCAGGCATTTAATAAATCTTTGTTGAATGAATGAATAAATACTAGTAGGTTATTACTAAGTTAAAAGTTCCTTATCCTAGTGAATGGTAATAGTGTTAACATACTTTATTTTACATATATTACTTTTTAAAAATATTAAGTGAAAATGTCATTTTGTTTTTGTTTTTATAGCTTATTTTTCACACATTGCAGTTTTTTGCATTTTCTTCCCTTGCCATTTTAATTATGAGGCTGAAGCTGTTTTTGACACCTCACATGTGTGTTATGGCTTCCCTGATATGCTCTCGGCGGGTAAGGCACTCATTCTTGTATAACTACAGCTATGACAACTATAGCAACTGCAGTGTAGTTACCATGGCTTTGCTGAGTAATCCAAAACTAAAGCACTAGGTGTTTTTATCTTAAGTGATTTTAAATGTTAATTCAAGATTCACTATAGAGTAAGAAAAGCAAATTCTGTTAGTATCCTATCAACAAATACAGTTTTTTGAAGTTGAGGTCTGTGTAAGAGTTTCTTGGCCATCAAAACTACCCTCAAGTGCTCTTATAAAGCCAGAGGGGATGCAGTGTAATTACCCTAATATTGTCCTGTTGGGCTCCAGTAATCCCTAGGAAAAAATGTCAATTTTGGGTTTCTGTTACTGTATCTAACATACAAAAGAGCTGAACAAAGTAGCTGGAGTTTTGGGACCAAAGTACTTCTAGAAACACCTTATTTAGTTTTGATTATGAGTGTCTTGCCTTAGAATATCATAAACTTATTTTCCTGAGAGGAATATACATGTTAGTACTAGTGAGGTTTCCCTAGTTATTCGAGATGTCCATAAAAGGCAACCAGATGTTCCAGGATTTAGTTCCAGGATGCTTCAGAATTGTGATTTGCTAATCTGCATCCCTGGTAGTAAATCAGTACTAGAAGGATCAGGTATTCCTTCTTTCTTTTGAAAAGAAAGAAAGCTCAATTTTTTAACTGGACTCTGTAATTCCAAAATATTTGCTGTTTTTAAACAATGGCTGATGATAGTTCTGTATACTGTTTGTATCAAATGTTCACCCAGCTTGGTTTAAGTAGAAAGGTGAGAATGTATTACTGACCCAATAGTACTCTTCATATAGGAATTATAAATAAATTTCATTTCTTTCATTTCAGCTCTTTGGCTGGCTTTTTTGCAGAATTCGTTTTGAAAATTTTATCTTTGGCATTCTAACAGTGATGTCATTACAAGGTTGTGCAAACCTCCATAATCAATGGAGCATAATAGGAGAATTTAATAATTTGCCCCAGGAAGAACTAATACAGTGGATCAAATACAATACCAGACCAGGTATGTAGCTGTTTATATGTATAGCTAGTTTTTAAAAATTATTTAATTATTGTATGTTATATATACATTTATGTATATTGTATAGTTATCATTTCATATATATATGTGTGTGTATATGTATGACATTTTAAAATGCATTCATACTTTCACAGATTTTGAGCATGCTAATTGCAGTGTTCATTAAATCAAACCTTTTCAAAAAAGCCATTTTGTGTCAAAAAGAATTTTAATTGACATAAAAAATTAATGATCGTTCACAAATTATGTGCTGTAACTCTGAGACTATTATTGTATTTTAACAATAACAATAATTTTTAAAGAAAAAAATTTTTAATAACAAACTTTCACACCTTGTGACGGGCCGTGATATTTTCTGTAAGTAATCTATAATCTTGTCCTAGACAATTTTTGATGTTTAATCATCTTCTCTGGCACAGGTTATTCGCTATGGTTTATTTAAATTTATCCTGTGACTCTTTGAGCCAATTTTCTTTTATCTCTTATTTGGCAGTCATCGTTTCACTAATTAGCCATCATTAATGTAATCTTTGATAAGCTTTAACTCAGATGTATTTGCTAGTCTATGGCTTTCAAAGGCTATAGGTGACAATACCTCATCACTTAGAGCTCCCAAGCTAGTTTAATCAGAATTGTTGAATTAATCCTCTGCTGGCCTTTTTCCTGTAGTAATTACAAGGTAGTTACTCCCTTTGCTGCCCCTTGTCCCTCCCGAGTTACAGCTGTTTTTCCAAAGCTTTAAACAGTACCTGCTCTTTTCATCTTTTCTTGTGTCTTTCTTTGTTCCAGTGTTTGTCTTAGGTTCCTGGCACAGAGAGCCTGTGTTTGGCAGCTTACCCTTCTAGTGATAACTCCCACAAACTCCTACCTCGTCTTTCGCCACCTCTTCTTTCTTCTTACCAGTCTTCCTGATCCCTGTGTTACGAGTTCTGTTATGTTTACCACATGTTTATTTAAAGCAGCATGAAGTTCTATAGTAAAGGTGGTAATAGGGCTTACATTCAGGTCTACCTGTAAGGTTGTGTAGTTTGTGCATGACACAAAGGTGCTCAGGCGAGAGGACAAGTGGGAACTAAGATCCAGCCTATGGGCCACTTACCGAGTCTTGTGTTAGTGAGGCTCTGTCAAGTTTCAGAAGGGATGCTCTTTTCTAATACATGCAGTAGGCTAAGGGGAGAGTTAAATATTTGCGTAAAAATCCTATTCTTTCCCTGTCCTGCTCATATTTACTTTACTGCCAAGAGGAAGGAAGCTGGTGGGGGTATCTCTCCCCTTCTCTCTCTGCTGCAGGTGGTTTCTTCTCAGTGGTTCCAATTCTTGCTGGACAGGCTTACCTAGTTTCTTCTGGACGATCCTGGCCCTGGGCTTCGGGTCCCGCTAGCCCAGGGTTTCTCAGCCTTGGCACTGTTGACATTCAGGCTGTCCTGTGCATTGGCTGGACAGCGAGCAGCATCCCTTTCTTCTACCCGTGGATGCCAGTAGCACTTCTCCCCTGCAGTGTGCCAGCCAGAAATGTCTCCAGAAGTGGACGGTGTCTCCAGGAAACAAAATCGTTTCTGACTGAGAACCACTGTTCTAACCTAGGAGTTTTTCATCATTAATTATTAAATGTTAAAACAATAGATACACATATACTTCAATTTATTTATATACTTTCAAATTTAAAGCACATAAAGAGATTTCCATTCAAAGTTACATTTAGAATGCTTCTAAAGCATGCTTACTTTATTTGAAAGTAAATATTCAATTATTTACAGTAGAGCTGAATAATATGCCTTGTTGTTAGTTATTTTACTATGCTGATTAAAAATGATAGTAGCCATCCTAATTATGTAATCATTTATTATACAAAAGTGCCAGAAAGTAAGTGTTTCGTCTTTTTGTCTTCCAAGAGAAAGAACTGAAACTGAAGCCAGGTAGTAGACTTTGCTGTATCACTAGTTATAACCAAAGGCAATACATTTATACATGCTGTTACTCCAGAAAGTACTGCTCACACATAATGAAATGATGTGATGAAATGTGTAAGTTT